TAGAAGTCAATTTTTCTAACCCAAAAGAATATAGCCTAAATGAGATGTAAATAAAAAAGAGTACATACTTTTAAGGTATGATAATTCTTACAAGTTGGAAATGGCGATGAAAGACGATCACATCTTACATGAAATATATTCTTGCATGTACCAGATACACATATAATGTCTATTTAATTTACCCAGTTAGTTTATGGCGCCCTAAAGCTCAATTATTTACTTTATCCAAGTTAGGGTTCATCTTTTTTAGTGTGCATATGTACACTATACTAAAAACAAGGAAAGTTCTAAGTGGCTTACAAGTCTTTTCTTTTCATCTAAACAATTTTATCCACATATTATAATTTTTTTAACGATTTTTTTTAAACCCCGTGAAGTGAAACTAGCTAGCTACAAAGTACTCCCTCCGTCCCAGCGTATTTGTCCACTTTCATTTTTACACACCGTCCAATGCACTTCTTTAATTCATTTTATCGTGTAATTTGTATATTAAAAAATTATAGAAATTATATATTAATAATCTATATGTTAAGACAAATCAAACAAGATCACACATGACTATATTTAGGCTTACACATTGAGAGAATTTGATGAGTCAAAGTGATTAGATTAACAGTTCTAAAAGTCAAACGTGGACAAAAACTGGGGGACGGAGGGAGTATTACGGAGTACATTCATTTGGGATGTGGGCGTAGTATGCTCCGATGTCAATATTTATCTCAATGGAAATTTTTTCGTGGTCTTAGACCTTAGTGTATTTGTATCGTAAAAGATTTGGGCTTTTGCAAAAAATATTCACTTGTCGACCTAAAAAAGTGTGAGACTTTGGACCACACAAAAACAATTCTTGTTTTAAAATAAAATTTCAGCTCCCCCCATATAAAACACAATTAACCACACAAACTTTTATGAGTTGTGCACGATTATTGATCTTTCAAGTTTCAAAAGTCCATAAATAGTCACTGAACTTTATGAGTTATGCACGATTACTCCTTCAAGTTTCAAAAGTTCATAAGTAGTTCTTCAAATGTGGTGTGAACCCTCGAGATAAGGTCCGTTTGAGAGTAAAAGTTAAAAGCTAAATGGAGTGCTAGATCCATGTAATACGGAGTAGTCGTATCTAATGGAATTTACTCGTATTATATGGAACTAGTATTTCATTTAGCTTTTAATGTTTACTGTCAAAAAGACCTCATCTGGAAGACTAACGTGTACTTGAAAGACTAATTATGAACTTTTGAAGCTTGAAAGATCAATCATGTACAACTCATAAAGTTGAAGGACCAATGATAAATTTTAACCTTAAAAATACCATGTCAATCTCATAAAAGAAAATAATTGTGACACATACTTCCTCCGTCCACAAATAAACTTCTCGTTGCGCGTTACGATGTTTTACTGAAGTTGTTTTCAAATCATTTTATATGAAAAATGTTGTAAAATTTAAAAATAAAAATTACATATTAAAAAACAAATCAAAAAATCTACAAAACTAGAGGTGACATGACTATATTATTTTATCAAATGGGTGACGAAAATAGGCCAACAAAGTGAATAAAGTTTGACCTTATGAATAGTGAATGGAAAGTTTATTTACGGACGGAGGGAGTACATATATTTAATTTTTTTTGTTTTGACGGTCAAATATTTAATTAAGATGGAAAAAGGGCGAGAACATAGCTTAAAACACGGGACAACAGCACCTTGAGTTGACTCTTTTTTAAAAGGAATTTAACACGCAACAATAAACACATACAGTTTTTTTTACGAATAATAATTAAACAAAATATATTATTTTTTAATAGAAGTTATTAAAAAAGAAGAAGATAATTAAGTAAGAAATTTAATCAAAAAAAGACATTATTAATTAATTATATTTTGTTTGATTCATATATATATTGTCTCTCTCTCTCTCTCTATAGCTAGCTAGCATATCCCTCCCAACCAATTTGAGAGAGGAGGAAATTAAAAGTGGACATTTAATTAATAAACATGTGCATTCAATGAAGGGAAGTGAGGTATTGAATGAGATTAGTTGAGAAACTGTAAATTGTATGTATATATATATTCATAGGTAGCTTGGAGGAAGGATGTTAATTATATTCCATTATATTTATCTCATAATCTCTTCTCCTCAAAAAAAAAAGTGAAGAAATAAATACGTGCAACATTAATATTACACTCGTTAATATTTAGGAGTTTCATATTTTTATTCTAAATAAGAGTTTGCACTGTAATTCACAAACGACGCATCAAGAGCGACCTTTAGTACTATTGTGTATGACAAGAAAAATATATAATCACTATGAAATTACATTTTTAGCTTTTAAATTAACACCAAGATAATAAAAAAGACTATTTGTGAAAAGATACTCATACAAAAAGATTAACGAGGTAATACTCCCTCCGTCCCATAAAGTGTTACCCATTTTGATTAAAATTGAAATTAAGTGAGGGATAATTTTGTGTTGACTTTCCAAAAATACCCTTGATGTGATGGGTAAAAGTAGGATGTGATATGTATATTATTAGGAAAAAAGGTATAATGTGATAGGTAGGGTTTGAAAAAGTAAGACGTAAAAGTGGTTTTTTAATAGAAATGAGTAAGAGATTGTGGGACACAATTTCTTTGAAACGTGTAAATCTTTTTGGGACGGAGGGAGTATTTGATATCAGAAGACTAAATATGAAAACTTTATTGTTATAAAGGACTAATTAATAATACAATTTACCCCAACTTATTTTACAAAATACCTTTCGTGCGCCCTCATTGCATCTTCAATTTCACGGTATTAAAATAACAAACAACTTTCATTTTAATTTTCGAATAAGTTGCATCTATATTATTGACATTTCCATGCATTTTAAGTTTTTTTAATCATGCTCAAAATATTTTATAATTTTTATGCATGTTATTTTCTTAGGGAATCAGCATGTCAATTTGTATATTAATGATAACACTAATCTTTGATCGGCTAGTAATTAAGTGATTTATTAAAGGGAAGTTTACTTAAATGGTACTAAAACATACTGGTTTTCCAATGTAGTACAATATGTTTTTATTTCTAACATAATACCACTGGTCATTATCCATTGATCATTGTTTAAATAAATGTTTAGTGTCATTAAACATTGTTCAAACTAAATGTCTACAATCATTAAACATTATTCAAATACTATTTAGGAAAATAAAAATGTTTAAGTGCTACATTAAGAAATGACATATGTTTTAGTATTATTTAATACGAATTTCACTTTAATTTATTAAACCCAATAAAATCCCTCTATAGCAGTGTCTCCTATAACAACATTGCACTATATATGTAGTTACACTTTAATAAACATTTTGTACACTTAAATAATACTTCCTCCGTCCCAAAATAGATTGCGTATTTACTATTCACAAAATCTAATTTTATTCATCTTCTTTCTCTATTTTCAATAGTAATTTGATAAAATAAAATATATATGACCACTAGTTTTGTAAATATTTTGATGTAGCATCTTAATATGTAATTTTTATTTTTAAATTTTATACTATTTTCATATAAAATAATTTGAAAACTTTTTTAATCAAACATTATAAACCGAAACAGACAATATAAATTGAGACGGGAAAAGTATTTCTTCCGTCCCAAAACTGATTACCGTGTTATTGTTTTAACTTCCTGATAACTTTTACTTACCTACTTATTGTGTATTATTTCTAGAATTTTTGACGCAATATTTTAATATATAATTTATTTTTTTAAAGACGGTAATTCTTTTTTTTGTAAAAGAAAAGTTATAAAAAAGAAGAGGGAGTTGAGTGAGTTTTGTACGTGTCAAAGAAGGTAAATGGAAATGGAAGCATTACATGAAACCGGTGGCTGACTTTTGACCTTTGACTTTTGTTTTAGTGCCAAGTGCGAAAATGGCCAATAATAATACTCATCACTGCTGCCATCAATTTTATTTTCTTTGTGAATATAATACGGAGTACAAAATAAAGTCAACGCCATGCATATACTCCGTGTGTATGACGTATACTTCAACGTTTAGTTTTAACATTTTTGAAAATATATTTAATAAAAACATTTAATTTCATCATTTTCGGTATAATGTAAATTTGCACCGTACCATTAAAAAATTACTTTAAAATGATAATACTAATTAAAAACATTTTTCCACAAACATTTTCTCATTATATTTTGGGTCTGCTTCAAAACAATTTTTCCTCTTTTTTTTTTGAAAAGAAATAAGACAAAATAAGAGGCTCGCATTAATTGTTTATCTTTTCTTTCAAAGAATTTATATTTATTTCTCAACAATTTTTGACAAACCGTGAAAGTCAAACCTATATATCATTCATGTGTTGTGAACAAATTAAATAAATTAGTTAAGCTGGTTAAATTAGCTGAATGCCCTCTGCATGCCAATCTGCTTCTGACCAAAGATCTGCCCGGCAGTAACCAATTCAAAGTGCACCCAAAGGTCAACCCATTACTATATTTTACAACCGTTTGCATTAATTCCTTTATTTTTTTTAAAAATGTTTTTTAGTTTAAAAAAAATGACAAATACTCTTCCTTATTAAATAGCACAATATAAAGATTCCAAAAAAAGCACAATATATTTAACCAAGTACACAATTAAATAAAAAAGTCACATTACAAGTTTTTCAATTCATGTCCTTAAAGACTATTTGTAGTGACACTTGACCCCGGGCGTGAATGGGGTGTCACACCATGTCCCGACCTGACTATTACTAATAATTGTTATTTTTTCGTTTCATCATTTTGACCAAATTATGAATGTCGACAAATGAACCATCTCTCATTTAAATCTTTTTGCAAAAAAAAACTTCAACACATAATTTATACGTTAAGAACTAGTTATCATAAATAACGCTGTAAACATCGGCACAAAGAAACACTCCGTAGTCAGGGGAGAGGAACAAAAGCTTTAAAGCTAACATTAAACATTAAAATTTAAAAAAAAAAGAAGTTATAATGAATAAAGAAAAACTCAACATATTCATGGAATACAAGTGTTGTGAGAAATCGTCCCTGAATAATGTCACCTTACAACGGAAATCCATCCTTAAAATTACCAAATACGATTGTGGAGAAACATAGGGGAAATCACTATATGTTTACAGCAGTTGTCTCCTCGGTCACAAGTAGAACACAAAGTAAGACTAACCTTCGAGACAAATGTTTTCAAAAAAAAAAAAAAAACCTCCGAGACAAATTGACTGGCCTACTTGAGCCTCTCTTGTCCTCCGTATTGTACGGTATTCAATGTCGCACTGAAGAGATGCTGTCTTTGATGAATGTACCCCGGTTGTGACCACCCACAAATATGTCTTTAATCCGTGAAAGGGGACCAAACATCCGGACAATCCTCTGCAGCGGAGTACAAAATGTGAGATTAAAAGGCACATGGTTAGAAGCATCCTGCCAATCCTCTGCAGGTTGAGGATCACACATTCCTTGTTTACTACTTTCAGTTCTACTATATAAGTGCGAGAAAAATCTCACATATTAACAATGATTATCCTACAGTTACACCATGGATGACATCAAAGTTGGCACTGCCTTCATACACAATGATTGTTTGTGCATGATTGTCTTTGAGGTTATCAACCTTGATGTCATCCCTGAGGTTAAAGTAGAGCATTTTCCTATTGAGAACACTTCAGGTCCAATCCATCATGATATAAAAACTGGTCCGATGGTGGTTTGCAGGGTTCTTGCCTATTAAATGGTTTTGGAACATCGGGTTTAGGCCCATTTGTCCACCCCTTCAATTATGTAGTTTGGATTAGGTGTGTTGGTTGAATATCCCACATTGAGTGTATACTAGAAGTGATTATCGAGTATAAATTTATGGTAAACTATTGCTTTAGAACTCTCTTACGGGTGAGAGTTAGGCCTAACAACATGACAAAGAACCCCAAGAACCGACTACATATTCCATAAGTGCCCAAATAATAATGTTCGGCATGAAGTGCAAGTTAAAAATGATGTAAAGCTGAGTGAAAGTGCAAGACCCCAATTTGAATGTTTATGTCAAAGTTTGTTACTCCCTCCGTCCCCAATTTGATTACAAATTGCGGGTTACAGAGTAAAATTTTCTACTTTTTGAAATCATTTTATTTACAAATTGGTATATCAATAAAATATAAAAATTACATATTAAAAAACTATGCCAAAAGTTCTACAAAACAAGAGGTGACAAGAATATTTTATTTTATCAAATACTTAATGAAATCGCGTAAACAAACAAAAGTTATCGAGAGGAGAGAGAAAAAAAGATTGTAATCTATTTAGGGACGGAGGGAGTATCAAATTGTTCATCAAATGCTTTCATTCTCATCTTGGCTATTTCACCAATTCTTTCTGATGATTGATAAGATCAATCTTTCTTCCACTTTAATTCGTTATAGCATCAGTGATCCAACTTCATTTTTTCCTCAACACTAGGTCTGATGGAACTGTTGATAGGCAACTCAGAAGTCAAGTAGATACAGTCATACAGATGAGAATGTTACCCCTCGACGTGAAGCTAACATGTAACAAAGTAAAATTGGTAATCCTGATGATGAAGATAGAGATTTAAGATAGAGATTTGACAGATAATGAATCTGAAACCAAAAGAGAATGTACTCAGAAGAAGACTTTATATGGTTGCTATGGCACGAGCGATGATCATGTTTATGGTAAAGAAATGACCAACACCAGATTATCCTATTAAAATTGATGAGTTGAAAGCAGAGTCAGGCAAGTCAGCCTCTACCATTCAGGAGACACTTGGTTGCACATTTGACAAAACTTTGCTCTGCGATGATGTTGTAGCTCATGGCCTAAAGAGGTGATAGATGCAGTGAGAATGTCAATGATTTAAATCTTTGAATTGAACAAAGTCAAGAAAGAAATGCTTACTTCAAGTCATATCACGAGTAAGAGTCTGTTCTTTAGGACTTGAAAAAAGATAGCTGGATGTTGGAAGAAACTAGAAGGAACTGGAAGGATCTAGAAGAAACTGGAAGAAATTAAAAGAAACTACAAATTAAAAGAAATTTAATTTTTTTTGTGTTTTTTATATTATTCTCATTCTAATTCTTGTTGTTATAAATTATTATTATTATTATTGTTGTTGTTGTTGTTGTTGTTGTCGTCGTCGTGTTATCTTAATGAATGTCTTTAAGATAAAAAAATATTGTTATTTTGCATATGTATCCATTAATGCTATTTGACTTTGTTATAAAACTTTTCGTTTTTTTGTAGATTCAACATTGCTATATGGCGATACAAAAGAAGATTTGGAAAGAAGCTACAAGAGTGAAGAGGCCAAATAACACCACGAGGAGTCGAGGACCATTTGGTAGACGAATATAGGTGTAAGAAAGCGCTTTAGTTACACCAGCTTGTTATTGGTACATACTTCTCCTCTAATCTTACTGTAAAGGAAGTGTAGGCTTTAGTAGATGCATAAAAGAGTGACAAGATGGATGATGTGAGGATGAGACATTGGATGACGTGATAACACATAGAAGAGTGACAAGATGGATTGTAAAGCAAGGTAGACAAACAGATATTGGCCATTTGGGAGAAAAAAATGTTTTGAAAAAATTTCCCTTGTACCAAGAGATTTTGGTTAACAAGGCTTAAGTTGTTAGGATGAAAGAATTGCGGTAGAAACCACACTCAGATTAATGGGTGGAGCCGTGGAATAATGCTAAAGGAGGAAAATCAGTGGCATGGATCTCAATAGAAGCAACCATTGATTTTCCATACAAAGAGGTGAAATAGCCTAATAAATACTCCGTAGTCAGCTTCATACTTCATTGTATCTGAAAGACATTCAGATGAAAATACTAAAAACAGGTACCTCATCATGAAGTCCACGATGCAACTTCATTTGCAAGATCTGCCACCTCTCTTGCTGCCAGTGCTGACCAAGAATCACAAGTCCCATTACAGCTGCCGCAACAAAGACAGACCAAAACGTATTTGCCTCTTTAGCATGTGAAACAAGAGAAGCAGTTTTCCTTTTCCACCAAGCTTGGCAAGGAATCTCATTGTCATGCTCATTCGTATTTGATTCTTGCTGAGAAGGTTCAGACCGGCAATTTCTTGAACTGCTTTCCTCAACAATATTTGATCCATCCTTGTTTTCATTACTATGTGAGGAACTAGGCAGTGCAGTACTGTGGAAAACTGATTCATTATCTTCCAAATCAACCTCATGTGCTGCGCTATCTTCTTCCATATATGCATCACAAATGGGTAAGATATTCCCATAATCATCAAAGATCTGAATCCCATGAAATCCAGATGAGCCGAGTTGTTTAACAGTCACCTCCTCGCTTAAGAATTCCACATTTTCTACACTCTGTTCAGTCTGGGTCTCACTAATATTCTCTGTTTCCAATGGTAGATTTTCATGCTGACTTGGTGGAAAAACAAAGTGACCAGACATAAACATTGCCTCAGATGTTTCGCGTTCATACTCGGTAAAAGACCTGCTTTCATTATTCAGGGCAGCATATGCCGACGATGCAAGGGATACAACTTCCCACTCGTTTCCGCGAGGAGGTGCCTCTTCCTCTTCCCCATTACTTGCCATCTAGAGGAAACTTTAACTTCCACAACCTTTCCATGGAACAAATTCATATTAATGCAATATTTAGGCAATAAGCCATCTAAAATGGTTAAAAAAATTTGATATCAAAACCAATAATGCACAGAAACGAGACACTCGATAGAGCTTATAATGCAGTGAACCCCTTGAGTACACAAAAAAATTGATTGAGAGCTTGTTGTGCACCGTACTGTAGAAGTGCTAAACACCAACTGACTTCATTCAATTCTATTTTTTTCGGTCTCATCATATATCTCGGCATTTAGACCTCGATTAGATTATGTTAAATACATATAGCAGCTCCTTCCCCAGCTTGCCTGAATCACTGAGTTAAGGCAAATCTGTAATTTTTAAAAGGAATTACAGATCTAGAACTACTCCAGCAAATCCTTGAACTCTCACCCACCCTCCCACCAAAGAAAACATTTGCACTCAGATAAGATAATCAAACTAAGAGAATGAGATCAATAAACAAGGCTGCAACTCCGTAAATGAAGCACATAAGCATATCCAAACATCTAATGCATATGAGATGAATGCACAAGCACGAATAAGGCCGGCGGAGATCCAAAACGAAGCTAGAATCCAGCAAACTTACAGAAGCTTCACGGGCAGAACAGGTGAGCAGGACGAGACAACCACAATTAAAGCTTCCTAGTCAAAAGCCAAAGTATCCAATAATCAAATAAAACACCAGAAATCAAAAGGTACGAACAAATCTAATGGGAACTGAACACCGCATAGGATGATTACTCACCGAAGAGAAGATGATCGGGGCGCTCATGTGAGGACGAACGCGAAAGAGCGATGCGAGAAGAGATAGGATGTAATGGTGGAGGGAAACCGGAGCAGCCGGTGAATGTGTCGTACGGAACAAGAATGGAGGAGGCTGGAGAGTAGGCTAAAAAACTTTCACGAACAGAAAAATACCAAACGGAAACTATCATACCTTACCTAACTAAATAGTTGAACCCATATTTAGAGGGTGTTTGGGAGTGTGATGAGTTATGTAAAAGTAGAAGTCATAATTTAGAAGCAGAAAGCATATATTTGTAGCTTTGCTAGAAAGCACTTCTAGACCTTAATTTTAACTTCTAAAGTCATAATTTATAAACTAAAACAGATTAGCAAACATTTAAAATTGTGTTTTAGTAAAGTAGAAGCTAAAAGTTATTTTCAAATGCAATCCCAAACACCCTCTTAGGATGGCTACGAGCTAACTTTGCATACAAAAAAATTCCGAACCAAACATATATACATATATGTTGTAAAAATAATAATATGTTTATACTTCTTCATTAAAAAATAAATTGATTTCAAAAGTCGATTCAAGTATAGACGAATTACAAATAATCATGTATTTAAATTTTAATTTTTTGTAGATGAATATAAAAATTTAACAGACATTGTTGAAATACTATTTTTTATATATATAATTTGGTCGATTTTTTTGTTAAATACGAAGTATAAATTAAACTACGTCTTTTAAGTATTTCTAGCATTTAATTATTAACTTTTCAATTGTTTATCTTTCTTCATTTGGATGTACTTTCGATTTTTTTAAAATAATTTTTTTTTATAGATTTCAAAGTGTAACTAACTACGTATATATGTTCAACCCAAAATTTTGTTGATTTCAAAGTGTAACCTTCAATTTCGGTTTAGTTATCTCTTATAATTTTGATTATTAATTAAATATAAATAAGATAGCACAGAGGAAATTATTTTCGAATAGTTTTTACCTTTTTAAAAAAATATGTTGAAATTATTTTGTTATTCAGTTTTAAATCTAAAAAAAATTATCCTGGTCTAATTGGTCTTCAACCGACATCTGCCATTCTCAAACTGAGGGGGCAATATATATATATATATATATATATATATATATATATATATATATATATATATATATATATATATATATATATATATATATATATATATATATATATATATATATATATATATATATATATATATATATATATATATATATATATATATATATATATATAGAACATCCATCCATTAGATTTATAATATAAAGTGTATAAATTGAACATGTGATAAAGTGTGACATCTCCTTGGGCACACACAAATGCAGGAAACCAGAAGAACTCTATTTACATACACATAAGAGGTCTGGACCCTAATAATTGTTCAGGGTGACCTCTCTTTTTTCTTCTTCTTTTTTTATGACATATAAGAACAGCATAATGTACAAACATGATGGTATTGTCACACAAGAATATGTTCCATATTCTATGATCCCTGTTTGGGGAGAATAAGATTATTGTTCAGCACAGAGGCTAAGGATCTACTGGTCCCGCAACTGCATCGTCGCTTGAGTCGTATTCGTTGTCACTCGGCTCCTCTTCGTCATCGGACATCTCGTCATCATCATCTTCCGGTGCATCCCCAATGTCTTCTGGTTTGGCGTATTTCCCGCAGTATTCTGTTCGATGATCATAGCATGTGTGCATGTCCGTGTTAGAGTATAAAAATAAATTCTGGGCCCACAACTACAAACTTAAACTTTTGGTTGAGTTATTCCAGGACACGATATCAAGCTTTGTTGACCTAGTGGTCACAAGCTTGAACATCACCACCACTTATTTAAAAAAAAAAAATTAATATTCACACTCAAGGATTGAGCAAAATAAATCTTGATTGCACGTGGGAGGCGTGTTAGAAAATAAAATCTTTCCAAAGCACACAATCAAAAATCAAATCTTGAGCTTTTGGTTGAGTTGGTTGTCAGACAATAACGCAAAAGCTCCCCACAATGGGGTGTATTGGGAAAAGATATTGCTAAGAATCCTACATTGAAAGATTAAAGAAAGATGCAAGAATTTAAAAGGTCTGCTACTACACACACCTTACCCATAACCTATTTCTTGTGGTGTAATTTTGTTGGATTTGTTTGGGACGGGTGCATTTTCCCAAACATATAAATGTATGGTTACTCCTCGTAATTGGTTAAGCTTTTGGGATGGAATCACAAGATTTATATTGTTAATCGCTTCTATGTTATCACATGTTTTATATTGTTCTATTCGTGTCATAAACCATAATCTAAAGCTAGCAATACCTTTAACTTTCTGTTCATATGCAGGACGATCGCGCATCATCAGGGCAGCTGCCTCCCCATTTAGGGGGTCTGCTGGGTTAGGATACAACAGAAGTTGTGGGAGAAACACTTCAAAAACATTTACCAGATCTGTGGGACACACGAATAACTCGTTAGTAAATTAAAATTATTTTTGGACACCGGATCATTTTCTGGTGTTCGGTTGAAAGTTTATTAAAAGAACCAAACACCATAAAAATGACCAAAACCAAACACCAAAAGATTAGAAAATGACTTCTCGGAAGTCATTTTCTATCCTCCCAAACGGACCCTAAAAACACATTTCGATACATTACAGATAAGGTCTTGACCCTCAATGATGAGAAGGCGACCGTAATGCTCTTACCAAACATGGGGCTCCAAGTCTGATTGATGACATCCAAACAAACTGATCCCGAGCTGAAAACCGGCAATCCATGAGGTTTTGATCACTTTCTTGAGAAGAAGAAAAAAAGAGAAATGAAATGAAACTAAAAGGGTACAAAGCTTCCTGTCACCTACATCTCATCAACATTCGGGTGGTAAATTTTATTGACAAAGCCAATGGATGGAGATTTATAAGGATAAGAGACCGGAAGTTCCACCCTCACTTTCCAAACGCCGCCTTCGTAAGGACCTGCCACACAGTTTATATGAAAATTAGCAAAATTAAGTCTGTTTGGTTGATTGAGATCCTCTGCCCGGCTTTAAAGCCACCCATCCCCGGCCATCCTTAACCGTTTGATGGCTTTGAGGTTTGTGCTGTCACCGGGCCCACAAAAACACATCGGAGCTTGCGTGCAAGGCAAGGTGTCTGGCTTATTAGACCACGCGAACCAACAACAAACCGAATACAATCTCAGACAAGGTAAGGTATGGATTAGACCACACAACTTAAATGAATAACTTGATAAATGGCAAACACAAAATGTAGTGCATAAAGTACTTTTGGCTAAAGTTTATGAATTGGAAAAACATGATTTGAACTTTATTTACATATTTTAATATCCTTACTTTATGGAAAAACCCACACCACTAAACTCACAATTTTACATCATTACTGTGAGATTCAATAAATCACATTACTACTACAAGGATATTGATTGGTTTAATGAATAACAAAGTAATGATGTAAAATCACAAATTTCTATGTGTAATAGTGTGAGTTTTTCCTTACTTTATTTAGAAATTATGGTTTAATAATTTTTTTAAAAAAAATCAATAATTCAATCTTTGCCTCAACTGAATCATTTAAGAGCTATCCCAAATCTACCCTTACCAGATGGAATCTAAAGTACACCCCATATGAAACATGTGATCCAAAATTCACAACCATCACCAATCTTCAATAGTTTCAATCACATAAAAGAGATCATCAAGAAATACCCAAACATCTCTAAGATTTTAATTAATTTATAACCCATTTTTTTCAAAATAAGGAAATAAAAAAGATTGGAGCTTTAGATAGGGATGGAGTAAATTTACTCTCTTTAGGTCCATGGAAATGAACAAAGAACTCCTGCATCCCATCATTTATCATCTCCACCTTGTAGTCACTCATCATCCTAATCCATGGAAAGCATTGAAAAGCAAAAAAAAAGAGGTAAAATAAAATGATTTAAGTCCTGAACTGACTATTTCTTAAAAGAAAAAACGGAAGCAGAATAAATCGAAGAGATTGGTGAGAGATATTAACAGTTTCATCAAGTCCATTTCTCTGCGTTTGCTCGGGGAAGACATGATTCTTCTGTTACTTTTGAAAGAAAGGGGAAGTGATGGGAAGAGGATGATGATGATGATGATGATGATGATGATGATGATGAAGAAGAAGAAGGGGGTTGCTTGTACAAGTTTCAGGAGAAAATGGGAAGGAAAAAAAAAGGAGAGGATTGAGGAATTGGAGATGCACAGATTGGAAGAGAGAAGACTGATATGAGAAGGCAACGATTTGTGAATTGGCCCCTTTTAATTATACTATTTGTAATTGTGGAGTGAGTTAATTTTATAATTGATTTTTTACCATAGATGTTTTTCATATTTAGTTTTTTATTACTCCGTATAAAATATTATGTTCGGACCCTTTTATGAGTACTTTTTATGAATAATTTTTCTTTAACCTTCTGTCATGATAGATTGATTGAGGACTAAAGTGTAATTTTATACTGCCCCTTTGTCTAGTGACGCATTTTAATATTGGTTTGACGGACAATACAATAATAATAAGTTAATAATTATGGCTATGGACTAAAATTTCAAGCAGAGACGACATTTGTAAACTATGGTTGAAATAGACGATAATTGAGCAAAACTTTTATGTTGAATTTATGTATTCTAATGTGGATTGTGGTGTTGCATTTATGTACTTTTTTCGTTTTTTAGAATGGTGAAATACCATAATTGAGTAATTGATAGCAAAAATGTAGAATATTGTTGCCTCAAAAAAATAATCTTGACATGGGCATGTTAGTCGGTGTGTCCACGCCTTAAAGGGGCGGAGAATAAGGCATTTGAAATTTTTTTAGAATTTAATAAAATTGGTATTGACAAATACGGGAGCAATAAGTAAATCTTTATATCCACTAAATAAGAGTATATGCACGATAAAAATGCATGCATTTTGGCAATGTGTAGGCATTTCTGTATTTAAAATTGTTAAGAGGTAGCATTTAAGTAAGAGCAAATCTTCGTATTACTTTTCCCTAAATATGACCAGTTGTATCTACTTTAATATTTGACAATGGAAAGTTTTAAAATAGCCTAAATTTGAGAAAAATGACTTATTACACAATTCAAGTAGAATAAGACATTATTAAAATTAATTTGAATAGTCATTGAAATAATTAATCATTATCCAACAGTTATTGCTAATTACTACATTTGTAGAGTCACTCGTATAATCACTTGTTATCCAACACTTATTAATAATGAAGGCATATATGGTAGATCATATGAAATTATGTATCATAAAGAAAATAAAACATATTTGGTCCTATTCAGGTAAATATATCACTTTTTAGTCATATATGAAGCAAATTTTTTTAAAGTAATTGTTGGTACTATAGTTTTTAGAACCGGACCGGTGACCGAACCGGTCAAGGTGTTGGTTCACTGGTCGAACCAATGGTTCAACTGGTCGAACCGGTGGTTTAAACATGTTTAAAATTATATAATTAATTAATTAAATGAATATATACATATGTGTGTGTGTGGTAACTACGGTTCCTACCCCCCTAACCCTCTCCCTAAACCCCCCACCCTAGCCCCAACCTTGACAAATCAAAGATATTGAGATTTGCTTAGATGTATCCAAATGATTTTAGCAATGTGGAAAGAATGAGTCTTGAGCATGAACTTTATCTTTACATTGATAATTTACAAGAGGATGAAAGGTTTGGTAGTTTATCCGACCTTGCTAAATTGATGGTGAGTACAAAGAAAAATTTTACATTTCATCTGGTTTATCGTTTGTTGAAGCTAGCATTGGTTTTGCCAGTTGTAACAGCCACATTTGAGATATGTTTTTCAACAATGAAGCATGTGAAGACTGATTTGCGCAACCGAATCGGAGACGAGTTTCTTAATGCTTGTGTAGTTTGTGTTGTGAAAAAATATATCTTTTTTCATATTACGAATGAAGATGTAGTTGATCGCTTTCAAAAAATGAAAACTCGTAGAGAACAATTATAAAATGTAATTTTGTTTCATCTTAATTACATATTTTTTAAATTTAAATTTATGCTTATTATATTTGTGCTGACCAAATGTGCTCCCGGTGAAAAAAAATCCTAGATCCGCCACTGGCACTGTGACCCCGTATATTGGCAATCCATAATATTTTCTTTTTATTATACATTGATATTATTGATATTAGAACTCTTATTTTAAAAATAAAAACACAAAAATCTTATTTTTGTGCTTTCCCATTGAACAATTTAAAGGGTAAATACATTATTCATTTATGCTATCTCCTTAAAAAAATTTAAAATCATTATTAATAGAAAAAAACAATTTAAAAGAAAAACTATACTATCATCAAGGCAGATAAAGGCTATCAGGCGGTATGTTATGGTGGCAAGAGGAGGGCTTGACCTCCTTCACGCCCGATACACGCCCATTCACCATGATGGAGTTCTGTGAGGAGCTGAGGGCGCAGGGGCGGATGTACTTTGTATATGTTGGGGTCACATGCCCCTTACTATTTTTTTTTCCAATTTTTTACTTTTATTTTTTAATGTTTTTAGAGTTATATTATTTATGACCCCAATTAAAAATAGTGGAGACCCCAATTAAAAGTATTAGAGACTTCAATAGATAGGGTTAAGTGAGAAAAAATGAGAAAAGTTAAATATTTAATTATTAAAAGAGTATAATCTTAAAGTCAAATTTTAAAAAATCACAAAAATAAAATTGAAAATGAAACACTAAAAATATATTATAATTAAACTAAGTTATAATGCAATCCATATATAGAAATTCTATTCTTTAAACTTTTTAATTCACTATTTGAATAATTTTTTTGAGGTTAAATTCATTATTTTTTAATGTTTCGCATTGTTTGTATTAAAAAAAAGTCCGGGGGTGTTGCCCCCAGACCCCGGTTTCGCGCCCCCTACTGCCTAAGTTTCTGGATCCGCCACTGGGAGGGCGTGAGTGTGTGACCCCTTCCAGTGTGAGGGCCAACCCGTCGTTGCCCCAACATTCTTTTTTTTTTTTTAAATTCAACCAATCAAAATTTAATTACAATCACACTTCATCACATTCATTCACACTCATTATAATACATACTCTCTCCGTTCCCATTTTAATTACAATTTTATTTTTTACTCTGCTCTAGATAACTTTTGTTTATTTGTGTATTTTCATTGATTATTTGATAAAATAAAATATTCTTGTCACCTCTTGCTTAGTACCCAGTAGAATTTTGGACGTAGTGTTTTAATATGTACTCCATCCGTCCAAGAATAATCTTCCTACTCTACCTTTTTTCCCGTCCGAAAAAAATCTTCCTACTCTACGTTTTCATACCCTCTCTTCCAAAAATACCCCTCTCATTAAATCTCACCCATTATTCTTAACTACACCCCTCCCCCCCTCATTGAATGTATCGCCAACCATCCTCATTCACTCCTCCCCTCTCCCTATCTTATCCGATCACAATCTCCATATCCTCCTCAAACCCTTCACATCTTCCGATCTGAACTCTTCATTTTCTCTATCTCCAAACTCAACTGCTTCGTCTCCTAGATCTGCAATGGATTCGTACGATTTGCGCTTCGAATCCATTATCCCGGAGACACAATTTGAGGATATTGGAATTGATGATGGGGATTTCATCTCTGACAAGGTGGAGGACGAGGTCATCGTCATCGCCAGCGACGACGATGTGGCCGATGNTCATGTGCGTCGTTTGCATGCGGCGGAGATGCGGATGTTAAGATGGATGTGTGGGAAGACAAGGTTGGATAGGATTTCGAATGAAGTTATCCGACGTCAGGTAGGCATGGCGCCAGTGGAGGATAAGTTGCGGGAAGCGAGGCTGAGATGGTTTGGGCATGTGAGACGGCGGGATGTTAATGCTCCTGTGCGGAGGTGCGAGAGGATCACGGTTATCGGGGGAAGTAGGGGAAGGGGTAGACCTAGGAAGAATTGGAAGGAGGTGATTAGGCAGGATTTAGGACTTCTCACCCTGACTGAGGATATGGCCCTAGATAGGAACCTTTGGAGGACTAAGATTAGAATAGCTGGTTAGGAGCTCGATGCTGTAGAGGTTTTTGTAGTGTGTTGTGTTTGTTTGGTATCTTCTACTTTTGCTTGCTGGACTTTCATTTCATTGTACTTAGTGCTGTATCCTGTTATATCATATTTTATCTTGTTATCCTGTTATATTGTGTTCTCTACTATATTTTTTGTGCAGGTTGAGCCGGGGGTCTCTTGGAAACAGCCTCCCTACTTTCAAATAGGGGCAAGGTCTACGTACACACACCCTCCCCAGACCCTACTGTAGTGGGATTCAACTGGGTTGTTGTTGTTGTTGTTTAGTGTTACTGGGCCACTGGAAGCCCAATTTTTACAGTTTTGTCTCCCTTCCCCATTTCTTTTACCCACCATAAACCCCTACCCTGTTCTTTGCCTCTTTAGACATAAACCTTCACCATCTCTTCTCTGCTTGAGCTTGTTAGTCACAATGCCACCCAAATCATCTAAAGGAAAGGAAGTTGAAGCTGCATCTGGGGTGAAGTTAACAAGGTGAGTTTCAGATTATTCATTTTGTTTAATTTTTGAATTTTGGATCCAATCTTTTCTGTGCCATCCAAAGTCTAAAAGTGCATGAATTTCATGTATTTTTTGTAAATGTCTCTGATTTATAAAGTTTTGATAAACAAAATTTAGTGGGTTATAGATGTGATTGTCTTTTTCTTCTGTGTAGCATAACTATGTTTAAGATTAGGTATTTTCTGTATTACTTGTTTTCCTTATTTGGTTTTCTTGATTATTGTTGTTAGGTATATACATTATGAAGAATTAGACAAATCTGATAAGTTTGTGTTTGACTTGAATTCTGATGTTCAAGAGTTGAAACAAAGATTTAGTGTTGTAATGGAATATATGCGAAGGAAGGCTTCGGAGGAAGGTTGTTTATTTTGAGGGCATTCCTGAAGTCAGGTGTGTTAATGGTTGCCCTTTCAAAGTGACGTATAAAGACATAAGCACGAAGTTTTTAATTGCGAAGACTAATGTTTACATAGTGGGTTATTCCCATGAAGATAAGTATTATTGCTTTGCGGATGCTGAGATAAAACTTATTGGTTGTAAAGATTTAGAAGAACCCACTAGGTATGGATATCCATTTTGTAGTGGTTTGGGTGCTATGATGATGAAAAATGCATTGTATGAGATGCAAAAACCAGAGCCCGATGTTAGAAAAAAGGCGGCAGAAGCTTATTTTGTGCATCTTTCTGAATCAGCTCGTTTTAGGCCAATAGAATATCAAGTTTATGTTGGTATTGAGCTTGGTAGTGCTGCTGATTTTGATGAAATTCCTGATTGGGAAAACAAGTCTTTTGCTTGGTTTCGTAAATCAAAAAGTGTTGGAAATGAAGGAGATATTATGACTTTGATTTCTCCTAGTGTTTCTCCTAATTTTAACAAGGATTCAAAGCCTTTTGACTTTGCTAGGGATCTAGTGCATAACTGGGAGTCCTTTTCTGCATGTTGGATTTCGTACCTAGGAACAGGGAGTTTGAGTTTTGATACAACGAATATGGGTATCAATTTTCAGCAATGTGGGATAAGGAATTTGCATTGTCTTAAAAGCACTCTGGCTCTGCTTTCGAATGTGAATCTTGATGAACTTTACTCTGAAGTAGAAACGAGAAGTAAAAGTGGGGAGTTGATGAAATTGAAGGATATGATTGGGTATTGGGAAAGAGAGAGGTCAGCAAAGGAACTTCCAAAGAAGGGGCTCTTAAAGGATGTGACATTAGAGAAAGGAAAGAACTTGAAGATTAGATGAGAATTGAAGTCTCTGAAGAAGCTACCAAAGAAGAGCAATGTTTTGTCTTCAGAAATCTTTTCTAATGTTTTGGTACTCTCTAATTCTATGATTGTAATAGCTTAGGTCTAATATGACTTACCACCAACTGTTATTTTTGCTATTGGGTGGTTTCTGCCTTGCTTAGGTCTAATATGACTTACCATCAACTGTTATTTTTGCTATTGGGTGGTTTCTGCCTTAAACTTATTACCAGTGATCCCCTTTGACCTGCTACTGATTATGTAAATGCAGTTTAATTATGTACATTTGGTACTTTATAATATTTTATTATTTTCAATTTCTGATTCTGTTTAATGCCCTCTTAATAGTTTATTAAATGTTGCTTGGTTCTGTTTTTGCACTTCTTGGAATTAAGGCTCGCGTTGTACTCCCTCCGTCCCATTTTAAATTGTCTGTTTGTCTTTTTTCTCTGTCCCAAAATAAGTTGCCTGTTAGTTGTTTTTGTGAATTCTTAAAAATAAAATACCTAAACTACCCCTAAAATAAGTCACATTTATCTTCTCATTCATCATCACCCCTCCTAAAAAGTAATGTCAATTTCGAAAAATCAACTCTAATTTTTATTTTCATTAAATATGCCTAAAAGTCAAAACAAGCGATTTAAATTGGGAGGGAGGGAGTATTAGAAAGTGTTTTCTCTGTATTGGTCTTAAACACCATCTTCCGTATCTCTGTTTCGTATTACATCAGAGTACCAATTTTCTAGTGGACGAAGGTTTCATCTTTTCATCTTCTCTAAGATTGTTACGGTGAGTAATGGGCTTGTTATGCCAGTAGACATCACCCCGTTATTGAGTTTAAAAATTTCAGCCTTTAAACTATAAATTGTAAGAAAAATATATCATTGGATTTGATGCGAATGGGTGTGAATTTTAAAATGCAAAATTACCATTTTGTTTTTCCATGGTTTGTTTGATACAGAACACATCTTTTTTTTTTGTAACAAGGACGGAGCATTATAAAAGGGACATTTGTGTCGTTTCCCAATTTGAAGTGAAAAGTTGTAGTGAGGTTGAGAAATACTCCGTATAAAAAGTGCGTTTATCAATGGTCTTGGCTCTTGAGAAATTAGCGTGTCACACTCATCATCCACACACGTTTCGAACTGAAAGTCCAATTTGTTACAAAATCATAATGAATGTATTTTATATTTGTACTTTTTATCTACATTCTGTACTTTATTCATCATATTAAAAACCAAAATGAAATTACAGTTGGCTATATAAATTTTTGTTAACGCACCAACATTTGTGTCGGTGTAAACTATCAAAATGTTTTTGTATATTTGTGGTGTAAAAATGGGGTACATTTTTTTAGTGTAAGTGTAGCATGGACCTTTCATTTATCATCCTACCCTTTCTTTTAATTTGCTCCGATTTATTTTTTTCACTCCATCTGGTCTGTTGAATCCAAAAATACTGTTGTCCTCCCCTCTCTCAAATCTCAACTAAATCGTTGCAATTTAATTGCTTGGATTGCTTGTAGGTATTGATTTAATTGTTTCTTGTTGGAGATGTTTGCATCTTCTCCTTTGATGCTATTGAGCTGTTTTTTTTCGTTTTGATGTAGCCAACTGTAATTTCATTTTGATCTCCAACTTCAGATTTTATTTGTAGATTTATTTTTTTTGTAAATTACAAATAAAAACGAAGATGTAAAATATTGTTGATAGTGTAAAATAACATTTACACTAACACTTTTTTCACTATATGTTGGAGTTGCTCTAATACGATACGAGATGGAGGAAATAATTTAAGTTTGAATGGGAGAAGTATCATTTAACGTACGAGAAAGATTATCAAAATAGTCTATTCTAACTAAATATTTTCCACACCACCTATCTCTTGAGGGGTGAATTTCCAATTAAAATCAACTAGAGTCGGCTACTCCATTTCAGGTTGTATTTTTTTATTCAAATAGAGTAGTCTAATCCGTTTCCTTCATTTAATTACCAAAACGGAGTTGGCTACTCTGTCTCCTTTTCTATTTTTTTAATAAATACTTTAATCATTAAGAAATTTAGGGGTAACATTTCACATCTCGTGCAGTCATGTCCACATAGTATGTCATTACTATAGTGTCACCGTGAATATTTGATTCCAAATGTTTTTACAATTCAATCCTACATCAATGCTTACTCTGGCATAATAATGCCGCTTCCAGATGATGCTGAATGGCCTACTCCAGAGTACAAGATAGTGATACCAATGCCGTGACAGAGGACACGAACCGCCCGACCTACGAGAATGCTCTATCTGAATAACATGGACTATCGACAATGGAGACGTCGCAATGAGGAATAACTATGTCATGAATTTTAGTTATGTCTGAATTAATGTATTATTAAATTCACAAAATAAGTTAGAGGCTGTTTGTTTCAGCCTCTTAATGGTTCAAATGTTTGAATGATTCAGCACTTAATGGTTCAGACTGTTTGTTTCAGCCTCTTAATGGTTCAGATGTCTGAATGGTTAAGATATTTGCCTCTGAATGGTTAAGTATTATAAATAGTCTGAATGGTTAAGAGCTCTTATCTGAATTGATCAGGCATTTGTCTCTGAATAGTTAAGCAATATACTAGCTCTTAATGGTTCAGACCTCTTACTAGTTCAGCACTTATCTATTCAGAAGTTGCCAAACAGCCCCTTAGTCATGAATTGTGTTTTGTAATCTTATTTTTATGAAAAAATTGTTATATGTACTTTATTGATAAATTTAATATATTTTTTCTTCTTTTAATTTCGTTGTATAAATATCACTTAAAGTCAATAAATAGTAATTTTATTTTTGATTTTTTATAGTATTTTTTTACATCTATATTTTTTTAATGTTTGTTTCCTTTATTTTGTAATTCAATTATTTTTTATAATTTATTTATAAGTAACAAACATTAATCAATTTCATTGAGATACCAAAAATTAAAAATTTTTTATAATAAAATATGTTTATAAAAAAAAGTTAGAAAGGTTTAAAGCAAAAAAAATTGGAACAAAAAAGAGCGTATTGATTAAGAAAATTATCAAAAAAATTAATAAAGAGGGAAGCGGAGTAGCTTAATCCAGTAATTAAAGGACAGAAAGGGATTAACCTACTCCAGTTGGTTTTATTTGGGAACGTGCAACATTTTTACAATGGCAGATCTAATTCCAGAATTATAATTCACATAGCATCACGATGATGTTTTGTTCTATTTTTTTTTTAAAATATGATTATGGTGCTTGTTTTTTGATGATCTTACAAGTTGTGGATCTAACATGTTTCGTACTTGATTTATTCTTATCGTTATGTAGATCGAACGAATTTGAGGGATGATCTTTTAATCTTCGATTACTGTTGAACCTGGGAAGGATACCAAATTTCATTAAGAATAATTTAAAGTGAAATTTGCACAGAATAAGACTAAAACATAAGTAATTTCGTAATGTAAGATTAAAACTTTTTTATTCCCTAAATAGGACTTAATAATGAGTACTAAGACGAATAATATCCAAATGATGCTGGACATTTAGTTGAATAATGACTAATAGATAATGACCAACGTTCCTACATCGGAAAATAAAAACATATGGTCCTATATCGAGAAAGTCATTATGTTTTAGTTCTATTTAGGTAAATTACCATTGAGGAAGAACGACTCAACACTAAGGGCATTGGAAATATGTATGAAGCCACATAGCTTCTAACTTTCTCTCTCTTTCACGTCAACTTTAACTTATCTCACAGATTCACTGGAAGTAGGTTTGAAGCCCCGCGGCTTCAAACATGTGCTTCAAACCTTCATTTTTACATTTTTAAATAAAATATTCTAAAACTAAATACGGAGTAAGAAAATTTAAGAAAATTTAATTATTTCATAATTTAATTAAATTGAAATGAGAATAATTCAAAAAAATTACAATTCATTAAATTAAAAAAATTAAAGCGACTATAATTAGATAGGCTAATTCGAAGTTGTTCAACCATTGCCCTCTCAAACATTCATTAAATTAAATTTCGATCTCTTCCTTCTTTTGCTTTCTTCTCGCCCTCTCTTCTTCTCGAATATTGAACACCTGCAGTTGTTCAATCATTGCCCGACCGATATCGTCGTGAGAAGAAATAGAAACAGAGCAAGACCCTCCAGAACCCGAGGCAATGGATTTTGCCTTCTTTTTTTCAAATCGCCCGTGGAATGAGGCCCTCGACATCGGAATCGTCAACGTTGAAGGGAGGCCATTGTTCGGACAAACCAATAGTGTCATCGACCTCAACCTCGGCGTCGACAAAGGATCATTTCTTCGAGGACCTAGTGTCAGGATTGTTGAGTTGTCGCCATTTTGATGGTATCATCGACCTCAACCTTGCCTTGGTGCGCGTTGTCTTGATGTCGGGACGTGGTAAGCCGGAGAACATCAGCGTTGTTCGTCCCGCTCTTCTGGGACTGAGTGCATTCCTCATAAACTCTGATAAACTTTCGGACTTTACGGTTGATATGGCCCCATTTAGAAGTGAGTTGGTCCCGGATATGGTACGCGACACCGTTGTTCATTGCCGCAAAGAACTTCTCCTCGATACGATCCCATATCGCATCTTTCATTTGCTCCGAACTTTTAAAAAGTATTTAATTGATCAAATTTTTTAACACAAATATGTAACACCAATATATAAATAAGAACACAAATATATTAGAAACCATATAATTTTTACCAACGATAGGATGCTCGAAGACGTCAACCCATGCCGATGCCAACAAACACTCTTCCTCTAGTGTTTACTTTTGAATTTACCGTGTCGCCTCCGTCATCGGTTGAGTGCCTTTCGCTTTGTGACTTTTCCGGCGTGCACTTTTTTTGGTTCCCGAAGGTTTCAGTTGAGTCTCCGGAACAGCCTCTCGCTCATAGACGTATGCCGATGGCTGCATCTCGAACAATGTTAGATTACTCCTGTGTTGTTGGATGATCCACACGGCATGCTCGTTAGGCTCAAGATCGTCGGGGGTATTAAGGAAAAGACTCCTAGTTGATATGTATATGTCTAGGTGCAATGTAGCTACTTGTGCTTATCACTTTGTACGGGTGTATACTCCCTAGTCTTGTGCCTTGAGTTTAGGAAAGGCCAACTTGCGTACATGTATATATTCTCTTGACTATTGTATTTGAAATACACAAGTTTAATCACAATCTTTCATCTCTTATATGGTATCAGAGCCGTAGGAATTTTTTTTCCTACTTCTTGGTTCACCC